ATCAAGGTGACAGTACAGCTGCATTCCTCTGAGATTCTAGGCTGAAATTTATTTCCTTGCCTTCGCCAGCTTTTAGAGGTCACTTGCATTCCTTGGCTTGTGACTTCATTCTATCTCCAAAACCAGCAATGAACAGTCAAATCTTTCTCTAGTTGCATCACTCTGACACCAACACTCTCTTTCCTCCTTTCACTTATAAGGACCTTTATGACTACCCTGAGTCTCCCTAGATAATCTGGGATAATCTCCTCATCTCAAGGCTGGATAATTAGAAACTTTGATTACATATTCAACATTAATTCCCCCTTGCTATGTAAAAAAATATTCAAAGATTCCAGGGGTTAGAATTTGGACATCTCTAAGCAGCTATTTGTCTACTGCAAGATAGACACATGTCTTTACAGTGGCGATGCTCAGAGCTAGGCATTATGACAGTCACTAATCTATTTGGAATAGAATTCTTCCAACAAGTGTGAGTTCAAGGAAAGGGACACAGTTTCTGATTGAAAAGTGCAACAAAAATTATATAAAGCATCCGATCCCCAGACAAGGTAATTCGGATTCAGGAAGGTATTCAAAATTTGTCTGTGGAGATGAATTACAAAATAGGAGATCAAGACAAAAGTCTTGTTATAGGATCAGGTTACAGAATTGAGAGAAGTCTTCTCCAAAGAGCTTAATAATTTTCCAGGAACTCAAAACTCACTCCAAGCAATCTTGCCCAAGGCAACAAGATCAATGCCACATCCCACTTTCTGCTGGAAATAGTACTCAATATTTGTTCACATTTAGTCAGGATAATCTCAGAAAGTACATAGTATGGAGACTTTGGAAGGAATCATCAATGCTTATAGCTAACAAAGGGTGAAAGCTGGCATTTTCTTCCATTTAGATGCTATCTATCCATCAAGGTCAACTGAGAATGTCACATATACCTTGAATCCTACCCCAATTCTCTCCTCAGGAATCATCTCTCCTGGGATTGCCAAGCTACTTCCAAGCTTATCCGTGTAGCACTCACAACTCCACATCTACAATATCTGTGAAATGATACCTCCAGTAAAAATGTAGAATTCTGCTTACCAGATTTTATCTTTTAATAGAGTTTGAATCCTGAAAATTGTAGCTTCTTCTTAACATTTTTATTTGAAACAATTGCCATTATTGCTTATAAATACACACAAAAATATGAAAATATTTAGTATGTCATCTTGAGTATTTTCCATTCAAAGAATGGGGACAGATAAAGCTACATAAATCTGTCATTTGTTTTATGTTTTTGTTATCTATTTATTTACTTACATACTGTCTGAAAGACAGCTGAACCTTTAACTAATCTTGCTCACCTGTTAGCACTAAAGAAAGTGCGGAAACACTGCCCAATTGTGGTGGTGGTGAAAATGACAGTGTAACAAAACAGAACCCAAGGTGCCCGGGTAGCATGATATCTGAACTGAGGATATTTTCTTTCCTTCTTGCTCTGCACCTCCCCTCCCCCCATTTATTTTGGGGGAGCATTTGGTTTGAGCTTTGGTTAGAGCATTTGGTTTGAGCTTTGGTTAGAGCTTTGGTTTGAGCATTTGGTTAGAGTTTGGTTTGAGCATTTGGTTAGAGCTTTGGTTTGAGCATTTGGTTAGAGCTTTGGTTTGAGCATTTGGTTAGAGCTTTGGTTAGAGCTTTGGTTTGAGCATTTGGTTAGAGCTTTGGTTAGAGCTTTGCTTTGAGCATTTGGTTAGAGCTTTGGTTAGAGCATTTGGTTTGAGCTTAGGTTAGAGCATTTGCTTTGCCTTGGCCAGGTTACTGTCAGTATCAGGGTAAATCAGTTGAAGGAGGATGTGGTTGTACAAATGCTCAGGCCTCCTATGGTGGCAGCTCCCCATGATGCGGGCTTTTCACAGGTGACTCAGCATTGGAGAATAAATGGGTTATTGTGTTTTGGCACCCATGGCTACATCCATAACCTATCAATTCAAATCTCACTGGGCAATTATGGGATTCTCATAATGCTCCTTAAGTCCTTTCTTTGGCAGACATCCCACAGGTTATGACGTTTTGCATGACATTAAAGAAAAAAAGAAAACAGAAAAACATAAGTAAGATAGTAGCAATAATAGCAGATGGACTATGCCAGTTAGTTTAGAATATGAATGAGGTGACCAAAACAGCAATTGAGAAGTCCACTTGAAATAAAATGATCAAAAGCTGCAATCAGTCACCCTCTGAGTGATGTCGATACAAGCTTAATGTTAGCGAACTAAAACTTGGGTATTGAATTGATGGTTATGATGGTTCTCAAAGGACCATGGCGAGACTAGTCACAGTCTAGACAGTACTGAGAATGACACAGCCATAGAGATAGAGCATGAACTGTATTCCAAATAGGAACAACTAGTGCTTGAAATATCATGCAACTGAAATAGATTGGGAGAGAAAGACATGCCAGGTTCCCAATAGGAGGTCAGGGATTTAGGTTGGTAGTAAACAGGATGATGATTCAGTGAGTTGAGAAAGGTATTGCTGCAAAACTCCTTTTTTTCTCAAAACTCTGAGATAATTCTTCTGCATTGATAGGTTTAAAAACTATTGCTATGTTTTATATCTGTCCATCTTAATTTTTTTTTAAAGTTTGTTTAAAATATGATATTGGAACTACTAGTTTTGTTCTCTACAAAGTTCTTGGGTAAAGCTCATGCATGTTTATTTTGATATTTACTAATATAATGTTTGAAGTAACTTTATACTCTTGGCCCAATCCTTAGTAATCACAGAATACATTCTTTAAAAATTCAATTTTGATGATAAGTCACAAATGCAACTGTTTGTTAAGTATGTTTTGGTATGTAGCATCATTATATTTTCAAAGACAGTAATTAAGTGACAAGATATTTGACTTATTGGCCCTGCCTCCCTGAGCTATGTTTTTGGGCTATTTAAGTCATGAATCTCGAAGGGCAGTTCAGAGTACTTTGGCTAGGAAATAAAGCAATTGATTTTATTATGCACTATGTGAACAGTTTAAGAAGGATCACATTTACATAGCTGTCTGTTATGCTAATATTATAGTTTCCTAATTCCAATTCACATAAAATTATACCAGATAGTAGCAATTTCCATTAATTGATGATGAGCCTGTCATGAATCATTCCACTCCCTTCCTTTCAACAAACATTTACTGAGCATATAATAGATACCGGGTACTTTGCTAGATACAGATGCTACAGAGAGAATTACAAAAAACAAAGGCCCTACCCCCTTGAGTGGAGAGAAAGATACAGTACAAGAGAGAGACAAGAAATCAGAAGTTATAATATTGTGGGATATGATATAAGGTTATATAAAATGCTGAGGGTGCCAGGGACAGGTTACTTCTGCCAGAGAGGAGGTAGGGGAAGAGGTATTTATTAAAAGCTTGCAAAAGATCCCCCCAAGCTTCCCTGATAGCTCAATTGGTAAAGAATTCACCCGCAATGCAGGAGACCCCAGTTCAATTCCAGGGTCAGGAAGATCCACTGGAGAAGGGATAGGCTACCCACTCCAGTATTCTTGGGCTTCCCTTGTGGCTCAGCTGGTAAAGAATCTGTCTGCAATGTGGGAGACCTGGGTTTGATCTCTGGGTTGGGAAGATCCCTGGAAAAGGGAAAGGCTACCCACTCCAGTATTCTGGCCTGGAGAATTCCATGGACTATATAGTCCATGAGGTCACAAAGAGTCAGACAGACTGAGCGACTTTCACTTTCACTTTTCAAAAGAACCCACCTGAATTATGATTGGAAGGAAGGGAAGGAGCTTGCAATCCGAGGAAGGGAGATCAAAAGTACCTTCCAAGTAGGAATCAACAAGGGAAAGACCACAAAGCAAGAAAAATCTCATTGTGTTCAGTTGTCCAAAAGAAATTAGTGTTGCGAAGGAGAAGGAAGGGCAGATAGTGGAGAAAGGGACAAGGCTGTAGAGATCACAAACGGTCTTCAATTTTGTACTAAGAAATTTTGATTTTTCTTGAAGACCACAGACAGAAAAAAATGTAGAAAAGTTTCAAGCAGAGAAGTGGCCCTGTAGCAGATAGCATTTGAGTTGTCTTTCTTCCAGAGTCACTTTCTTCAGGTTCACCGCATGACTCTGACCATGCTCACCCCAGCCATAATTTGATATGCTGGTGGTCTTCCCTGACCAAAATTGAGGCAATTGTGTTATCTCTATTAAGGAGTTGACATTCTAACATACCAAGTTCTATGTAACATAGAAGACCGACGCTATAGAGTGGTCCTATGTTTGGAAAAGCAAAGTCATGATGTGCAATTGATTGAATGGCAGAATTACTGATAAGAAAATGAAAACTGTAATTATGACCAAATTGTGAATGTCAAACTTAATGATGAAAAAGGACATGGTGAGCACTATGGATGCTGATAGAGTTTGGGCTGTAAAACAAAACTATTAGCTAAATTCCAACATATTCAATGAAAGTAGAGACAGAACTACCAAATAACTGTATAGAAATAGTGAGGATGAGGTTATGCTACAGCCAACTGATAGCCTTCAAAAATGATTTTCAGTAGAATTTAACATAATTGTATATGGCAGCACCACAGAGAATACTTTATGAAAAGGACACATATAAAAAAGAATTTGTCCTGGAATGAGAGTTTCAGAAGGCACGTTGGAAAAGTTTGAAGAAAGGCAGAAATTAGATTAGGAAGAAGAAACAAGATGCATTAAAGTTGATTGTATGTGTACGTGTAGTGGGGGTCATCTCACCTTGTGTAATGAGGTTGAGGGCATGTATCAAGAGTTACATATAAATCACTCCTAAGTTGACAGGGAAATGTAAATAACTATGAAGTATTTGTAAGCAAGTGTTCTTGCACATTTTAGTTTTAATATACTATACGACTTGTATGAAAATATATACACAGCCTTTGAAGCAATGAAAGTCCAGTCTTCTTATGGGTGGGTCCATAGAGCATATTAAAAATGAGAATTATATCTTTCTTGAGGGAGATGGACTATTCCAGAAAAGCCTTGTTTCTGGATAGAGGACTGCCTCCGTGGGGTGGAAATGCTGCAGTGGAATCCTGTTTGTGCTGAGTTGAATCTGGGAATCCATCAGGTAACAGATACCAGATTCCTTCTGAAATGGTGGATTCTATATAAATATTAGTGTCATTATTATTAAAAAGCTTTTGTGCAGATGCATGATGACATTCTTGGTGGTAAAAGACAATAATTTCCATTTACTGAACACTTTCTATACTCGCACTGTGTAAGTATTTACAAGGTGATTTCATTAAATTCTAACAAAATTGTGTGAGTGGGTATGATTATGCCCATTTTATTAATGAGGAATTGGAGAACTACATGCTTAAATAACTTGACCAGTTTCTCACAGGTAGCTAGAAAGAATCAGAGCTGAACAACTCCCAATCTGTGGTGTCTCTGCAGAATTACCAGCAAATCAATGAGAAGTTTTCTGTATACCACAGGCTCTATACTGTACACATTTAATAATTCAGGATTGCTCTTCCAAAGGCTATTGCTGTTCTGTCTTTTCCAGACATTTATCCATGAAATTTAGTAAACTAAAATTTTAGTTTTGGTGGCTTTTAACTATCCTCCCTGTAGCTAAGGGGTTCAGCCTGTTTTATAAGAGGTGATCTTATGGTCTAAATAGGATTTCCTAGGAATGAGGTTAATTGCATTAATAATCAGCCTTTTCCCCCAGTTTAAATATTATGTATGTTTGTGTTTCAGTCATTTCAGTTGTATCCAACTCTTTGTGTCCCTAGGGACTGTAACCCACCAGGCTCCTCAGTCCATGGGATTCTCCAGGCAAGAAAACATGAATGGGTTGCCATGCCCTTCTCCAGGGGACCTTCCTGACCCAGGGATCAAACCCACTTCTCCTGTGGCCCCTGCCTTGCAGGCAGATTTGTTACAGATTTGTTACCACTGAGCCACCAGGGAAGCTCCTTAAACAGTATAAATACATGGAAATCTTTGTTCACTGAAACATCACATTTGATGTTGAAACAGAATTTGAGTGGAGGTTTGGGTGCACTAGATTATCTTTCATGTCAATTTTCACCTGTGTTCCTTCTCTTTTTCATTTAGTTATAGTCTCAAACAGAGTATCATGAAGTCAACCTGAAATTTTCCTTAAGGTCAAGATTTTACTTAGGACATTAAGATTTGACTTGTTGCCTCAAGTTTCAACTTGTCTTTTCTGTGAACTTGGTATCAAAGGCCTTGGAACAGTTCTCAGTTTAACTTTTTATTTCCTCTTAATTATTTCTAATATAAGCAGAAAAGTAAAGGTGCTAATTGGCCTCTTCAGAATTACTTTTTGCTTTTTAATTCTCTTACATCTTCCCTGAATTTTTACAGGAGATAGAAAAGGTTGCAATATGAGTATATAGAATGCTTAAAATATAGTCTTTCCCAGATAAGAGCAGCTTTTCCAGGCAGCTTCTAAGATTGTTCAAATATCTATGATGTTTTCTCTCCATCTGTCTTCAGCTGGTTTCTTTACTGCCTTCTACCAGTCTGAAGAAATTTTACTTCATGATCCTGACAGAGTGCTCATTCTTATAGAAGTTAGTCCCATTTTTTTTTAGACAATTATAAGACCCAACTTTTAAAAATATTGAAGCAAAACATAACAAGTTTTCCAAGTATTTCTTCAATAGCATAATTTTACCACAGTGTCTAATGAATTCCTTATAAAACCACAATTCTAAATTCAAACTCTCAGAGGTTGCTGTTGCTTTTAAACTATCTAAAATTGTTTTCTTTTGTCAACATGGATTTCCATTTCTAATTTCTTGGTTTTAAGTGTATCCTTTGTATTCCATGTCCGATGGCAACTGAGAATTTTCTGGTAACGTGTCAAATCTTGTGTTCTTCTCGCATTTAAAAGCAATACTGGATCTTATGCCTTAGAGAATCTTGTTTTTATGATGAAATAATTTTTAAAATCTAAATGATCATCATATTAGGTTTTCAATCCATTCCCACTTCTTGAGTTCTTTTCTTTCCCACTTTTTGCTCCTAAGTTCCTACTTCTAATTCTAAATATCCTACCTGTTCATATCTGTTAAAATAGATAAGTTAAATAATAAATTACTTAGTTTTTTTCTTTTTATACAGAAAAAATATAGAGAGAGGATAAATACATAGATATTACAAAAATGTCACCACAGCTGTTACTTAAATCTTAACACTTTCTTAATACATATATAAAGTAGTGGGGGCATGTTTTTGTCACATGTAAGGAGTTAAGAGTTTTTTTCAACTACACAGAAAACCAAACTCAAAGAGAGAACATGAAAAATTCTATCTCAGTTTAGGATTCTACAGCTTTAAAACCATGATTGAACAAACATCATGGAATGGAACGTACGTGCTTGATTATTTGTCTCTGAAGTCTTTTAACACTCACTGCAAAGTCACTTTAACACCCCTTAGAGATGCAGCCTACTTCTGCAAACTTCAAGCAATATGTTTTAAGGAAAGGAAGTAAAAGAGACTTAAGTTTCATTAGCTTTGCTATTGTCTTGCTCAGACTTAGTTTCCTACACTCATGTGACTTACTTATGATATAACAGGGAAACAGACAACGGATCATCACTCTCTGGTCTCTCATTCCCAATTTCTAGATTGGTTCCTTTCCAGTATCCCATTCCATGGGGCTAGTTTCTTGCCTTATTCTCCAGTCTTTCTAGAGACCAAAGCATTTTCCCTGGTCCATGTGCTATTGGACTCGCCCAAATGTCCTTTTGTGTAGATGACATTCTGCTGAAGACCTCTCTGATGTCTTGCTCGGTTTAAATCTTTAGAGTTTTGCCTAAATCCAGTGTTCCCTGAAAATGACTTTCTGACTGCCCATAACCCAACTGATTACCTGTGCTTCCCTTTCAGAGCAGACTGGTCTCCTAGACCTGACCATCCTCTCTCTGATCCATTGTCATTTTCATAGGATATTCTTTATGATAGTGCAGGAATGTTTCTGAAATTCCAGTCACACTATATGTTCTTAATCACTTAGCCAGTGATTAGCTGTTTTTTCAAAGCAAGTATGCTCAGTTGCTCAGTCATGGCCAACTCTTAGTGACCCCGTGGATTGTAGCCCACAAGGCTCCTCTGTCCAAGGAATTTTTCAGGCACGAGTCATAGAAAAATGGTACCTAAAATAAAAATTTAAAACTCAAAGCAGAATTCCTATAGGAGAAAAATGAAGTAGTTTAAAAGGGGAAGAAAATGTAGCATTATAACTGCATATAGTAATATTACATTGTCATGGTCAGCATTTAGGTTTTTCATAAGGATGCCATGGTAAGGATGAACATCAGCGAGTGTAGTGAAATGAAAATAAAGCCTAAATATGTCAGTGATTGCAGTGTGAGTTTAATTTGAGATGGGGAAAAAGATATAACCTACTTGTCACTTATCAAAAATTATTTTACAAAATAAATTGAACTAAGACTCAAACATATATTTGTACATTCATGTTCAGTAGCATTACTGACAATAGCTAAAAGATTGAAGCAATTCAAGTGTGCATCGATGGATAAATGGATAATGAAAATACACTACATGCTACATGAAAGTGGTTTAAACAGTATCTTTAGAAGTTTATTCTTCAAGAAGTCTGATCACTTTGATTATATAGGTTTATACTGTTTTGACATCTCCTTTACATAAAATCAAGATGTTTTTACTTTGTAAGAGGCAATTGATAGACTAAACTTTCCCAATTCATTCTACTGCACTTTTGCTTAAAAAGATTTAATAGCCCCCTGCTGCTGCTGCTGCTAAGTCGCTTCAGTCGTGTCCAACTCTGTGTGACCCCATGGAGGGCAGCCCCCTACCAGCTCTGAAATAAATTCTTGATAATTTAGTTCCATTCCGGCATTTTTGTTTCTTTACAGCCACCTAACACAAACTTGCTATTTCAATTGATAATGTCTTCATCAAAAAATGCATCCATTCTAACATTGGGCTTATGCTCAGACTATGATTCTGTTCCAGAAGGCTCTTCACTGTTTCCCTTCTTCTCTTGAAAATACCAAACATCTGTTAACAGGGCTTCTAGCTCTAGAATTAAGAGAATAGCTAGTGTTGGGTTTACTATCTATCTATGGATAAGAGCAGGGTAGACTATAAAAGGGGACAACCTGAAGGCAGTGGAGAACAAGCAAGCAGGATTTGAGGAGCTACAATCCAGAAAGAAGAAGAGCAGAGATATTAAAATGACATGCTGGTATTCTGTCTGCCTACCAAAACAAAGCAAAAGTAAATCTAAATAAATCCGAAAGAAAAAGAAAATGTTAACCCTTTTAGATTAAGATAACAACACTGTGACATTCTTTAATTTTTAATCCTCTGACTTGAAATAACATGTTATGCAACACATTAAAAACACACAAAAACACAGTAAGCAAAAACCAAGAGAAAAGTAACAGACAATATAAATGAACTACAGGGTTGTAGAGATGTTAGCTTTATCAGACAGGGACTTTAATTATGATCAACATATTCAAAATTTAGAGTAGTATGTAGAATTTCAGCAGAGACCAAGAATGCATTAAAAAATAGACAAATGGGAATTCTGTACCTAATATTAAATACTGAGTAATATTGCAGATTCATTTAATATCAGATTAAACATAGCAGAAAGGAGGATTAGTGAACCAGAAAACAGACCAATAGTATCCAGATTTATCCACACAGATGAAATAAATGATAGATTGTACAGAAAATAAAAGAAATATATGGAATATAGTAAATATACAATAAATGATATGAAAGAGAATATGAAATAGTCAGTGTTTGAAAAATTTCTGGGTCAGAATTTCTCAAAACTAATGAGTGGCTCAGCTGGTAAAGAATCTGCCTGCAGTGAGGGAGATCTGGGTTCAATCCCTGGGTAGGGAAGATCCCCTGGAGAAGGGAAAGGCTACCCACTCCAGTACTCTGGCCTGGAGAATTCCATGTACTCTATAGTCCATGGGGGTTGCAAAGGATCAGACAAGACTGAGCAACTTTCACTTTCACTTTCAATGAAAGATATCAAACAATGTGACTCATGAAGTTCTCTGTTCCCCTGTCTCTACAGTATGGGAAAAAATATATTTGTGATGAATGATAGACTTCAATAAGAAAGAAGAAACACCTTCCGAAAGGAAGCAGAAGAGTCTATCTTCCTGACCCTGGAGTTGACAGAGATGTTTTAGACAGATTACAAAAGTATTAGCTGTTTTTGGCATTATTAAAATCAAAACTTCTGTCTTTAAAAGGTGCCTTAAAGAGATTAAAAGACAAGTTTCAAACCAGGAACAGAAGACATTTGCAATGAATTATTTGACAATGGATTCACATCTAGAAAATTTATAAAATGTAAATAAGAAAAAACAGAAAACACAACTAAAATTAAAAAATAGACAAGACTTGGAAAAAGTTCAAAGTATGACATCTAACTGGTCAAATAAGGACATGAAAAATTGTTCAACATGATTATTCATCATGGAAATGCAAATTAAATCCACAAGATGATATCTTTATACTCACTCCAAAGGCTAAAACTAAATAGACTGATCACATGCAGAGTGGTAAGTATGTGGTCAGCTGGAACGCATATATATTACTGGTGACTGTACTAGTTGGTACAACCACTTTTAAAAAACTGTTTCAAATATTTAGTTAACCTGTACATACATATACCATTTAACCCAGAAAGTTCACTTTCTTATATATAGCTAAGAAAAACGTTCCTAATATCCACAAAAGGAATATATATATATATACATATATATATATATATATCTGCCTTATTTGTAATAATTGAAATTTGATATAATAATTAAAATATCCACCAACAAGAGAATGGCAGTGATCAACAATATGGATTAAATCTCACAAATGTGATATTGAGAAAAAGAATCAAGATACAGAAGAATATGTAGTTTATTATTTACTGTATGAAAATCAGAAACAAGTTGAACTCATATATGATGACAGAAGTCAGATTGGTGATAACCTAATAGGGGAAATTTGAGGTGGGCATAAGAAAGCTGTTGGGATGCCAAAATTGATCAAAATTTATACAGCTGGTGATATATGGGTTTTTATAGATTTAAAAATCTGAATCTGTGTGTTATAAGATATGCCAGTAAAATAATAAATATACATCTTGATACAGTTTCACAAAGTCAATATAGCCCCTTCACCTGATAAAAACATTATCTGCCCCTTAAAGTTCTCTTCATATCCCCTACTAGTATCTTCCATCCCCAGGGATAACCATTTTCCTGACTACTGACACTCTGGATTACTTTTGCCTGGTTTTGAACTTCATATTAATTGAATTGCTTGTAGCTGTTTATTTAGTTGCTTTTCAGTATTCCACTGAATGAATATACCACAATTTAATTTTCATTCATTCATTCTACTAAAGATGGTATTTATGGTTTTTCCAGGGCAATTATATGTAGCCCTTCTAAAAGCCTTCTTGTACGTGTTTTTGATGAGCATATTTATGTATTTCTGTTAGACAAGTTCATCTGAGTAGAATATCTGGGTCTACCAGGATGTCTTTATTTCCCCAAGATGAAGCAGAATTATCATTCAGTGTAAATTCCTTTCAGCACTTAACAGTCATTAAGTTTACCATCTCTGAAATCCAGAAGTGCTTCTGCATAATCAGTTAGTTGTGCACTTCATTGGTCTTCAACTCGCTCAACTACTTCTCATGTTTACTTCTTGTTCTTCCCAATGGGAGTATAAGCTCTCAGAGAAAAGAAAACTGGATCTTCCATTCTTTACAAACATGATTAGGGAGCTTTCCTGGTGGCTCAATACCTAAAGCTCTGAGCTCCCAACGCAGGGGACACTGGTTTGCTCCCTGTTCGGGGAACTAGATCCTGCATGTTGCAACTAAGAGTGGGCACTGCCAAACAATAAATAAATACATTTTTAAAATGTGATTCGTCCCTTCCTCTTCTCTTTGGCATTAAACACTCCTCACCCCTAGTTTCTTTTGCACCTGCTTAATATTTAAGTCTCGTCTTCCAAATTCTCTATTTTCCTAGTTATCTGTTTTTAATTATTATTTTTTTTGAATAGTGCTATACTTTTTTATTGCTCCAGTGAGCACCTATTCCTTGGAATTTGGTCATAAGCACTATCCCTTGTTTCCCAGGCTCATCTTTATCTAAGATTTATTCATTTATTCTTTGTTCCTCCTTTGCTCCATGACTCATTATCTCAGAGCGTCCCAGTGGAAAGGGAGTTTAGACATATATTTTAAGTACCTATAATTTTAACAGTTTTAAGGTAGCCTCAGTGAGGGATACAAAGATGATGACAACAAGATACACACCTCTTCTCACAAATTAGCCTAGTTAAGAAGATGCCAAGTAAATTGAAATAATGAGGTCTGATTAGAACCATTACATATCATTACCTGTGAAAAAGTTATAAGGCCCAATCTTATCCAAAATAAAACACAAAGGTGCAAAGTAAATGAAGGAAATCCAAATTAGTTTCACCTTTTCTATGATGACATCACTGAATAAAAAGCATATATAGGAACTTCCATGGCTGTCCAGTGGTTAAGACTCCATGCTCCTACTGCAGGGGGCATTGGTTCTATCCCTGGTCTAAGAATTAACTTCCCACATGCTGGGCAGTGTGGCCAAAAAATCAAAAGATAATTTAAAAAGTAAGGAGAGAATTATGTATATTTATATAATATAAAATTCATATAATTATAAAAATATAAAATTTAAAATTCATATAATTGAAAATATATAATTTATATCATTATAATATAATACTCACAATATAAATATTATATCTATATTATATAGATATATGTTTATTTATAAATATAATGTATTTATGTATAATTATATATAGTATATATATATGTGTCAACTATGAAATCATTAAAATGAAAATTCTTATTGTTTTCATATACCTGTGTAATAGCCCAGCTTCCCTTGAAATTACAGACAAAAGCAACCACTCCTGCGCTAATGCTCTTTTGTGGAGTACAGAAGTTGAGGCGGAAGAACAAATATAAGAGACATCACTGCCTACTAGACCACAGTTTCCTGGAGATCTGATTGCACTGTCATTCAGGATGTTTTCTTAGAGACCATATATAATCACTGAAATTGCAAATAGTCCATGATGGTCAAGGAGGAAGGCAGAAAAATCTATCTGTTGAGTCCCAACTTCCATGATACAAATTTCACCATGCAGCATCTACTTCCCAAACTTCTGGGTTGTATAAGTATGGATGCCAACTGGGTGTTGAGCCATCTCATGGCACAGTAGTATTAGGGAAACATGGGGGGAGCCAGGAACCATTGAAACTTGGATGTGAGCAAATAGGTGTAATTAGGAGCTGTCTGTAAGACAGGTTATAGGTCTGTGGTGGTGCTAGTGGTGGCAGAAGTAATCTGGCAGCTTACACTGGAATCATGTAAGCTGTTACCGAGGCCTACTCTGACCCCAAAGCAGAGCCAGTGCATGAATCTGGGGTGTCATATAAACAAAGAACTCCTTTTCAGATCCATTCATTCCTAACAACATCCCTGTCTTATCTAAGATACTCCTCTCATTTCTTCCTCATATAGAAGTGCAAGTCTGATTCATCAAGGTGGCCAAACATGTTACCTTTCCAAAAAACCTTCAAAGGGATTGGCAAGGCAGGCTCCAGTACCGTTGCTACAATTGGTTCCAGCCGATAAGTGATTCTCCTGCCCTCCCTTCACTATCTCTCATTTTAGATTTCTCTCACTCTCAGCTAACACTCTCGCTCACCTGCACTGCTAACCCACTAGGATGACCCAGATCTTCATTCCCAAGAGGTTTTAGCCTATAGTTGCCCTTATCAGGGTGTGGTTGTTACATTTCCTCATTTACATTTGTCATAGGAGTGCCATAAGACACCAGGTAGTCCCCTGCATTCAAAATATTCCTCCTCCCTGTCTTTGCTGCATAACAGACAAGTCAGGCTTCATTACCCTCCCCACCTCCTATCCCCAGGAAAGTAACTCCTTTCTTTGTTTAAAAAGAAGCCAGGTGATACCTGCAATCTCGAATTTAGTGTAACCTATATTGTGTTCCCTTGTCCTCCTCCCTTGAGTACATGATTGTGCACCCAAAGAACAACTCCCCCCAGCCCCACAGATGCTGTCCTCAACTTGGCACCTCAGCTGAGCCCTCAGAAGAACTTTCCACCTTTGATCGGGCTGGCTATTCCTGGATTATGGGGTTCATGATAGGTAAGTGAAAGCATTAGTTGCTCAGTTTTGTCCCACTCTTTGTGACCCCATGGACTGTAGCCCGCCAAGCTCCTCTGTCCATGGAATTCTCCAGGCCAAAATACTGGAGTGGATAGCCATTTCCTTCTTCAGAGGATCTTCCCAACCCAGGGATCAAACCCAGGTCTCCTGTATTGCAGAGAGATTATTTACAGTCTGAGACACTGGGGAAGCCCAATAAGTAAGCGGATATTATAGTCAGGAGCCCACGGTTGTATGTCCTTCACTTTAGAATTGGTACATTGGTCAAAGATGTCGTGTAGGACACTATTTTCACAGAGCAGGCATTCTGTTAGCACTTGAAGGATGGTGCAGTAAGACACCCTGCAGATGGGGACTGAAGGTCAGCTTTCAGTAGGAATGCTCTGCTGCTCTCCCTGAAGTGGAGAAAGTTGACATGCCACCAACTGGCCAGCCAGTCTCTCTGAGGAACGGAGCCTGGCTGAGGGCTTCATGTTGATATACGCTTCCCGCAGGTTGGACATCCGACGGGAGCAGGAGTTGGATCAGCCTTGGTGAGGAAAGTGCAACTTGTCAGGCCCACGCTGAGTCTACAGCTTTGCCTGTCTTCTTCCATTGCTTCAAGTCTGCCCCATGGGATTTGCATGTGGGCAAAGAGTAGTTTCCACAGCATCTCATGTCTAAAACAGGAAAATTCAAGGCATGAAGTGAGAAGCACATGGCATATATTTGAAGCCTGTGTCAGGAAGAAGTTGCTAAGCTGAGCTCCAGGTTTATAGTGGTATAGGAGTGTACGCTGGTGCTAGGCCTAAACGCAGAACAGATGTGTAGATCATGGGGACGTGCAAACTCAATATGCTGTGTCCTGATTTTTCTGGTGCCTTAAGCAGATCCTTATTTGCTTATTTGTAAGTCAGCCCTGCAAACATAATAAAAGGCAGAATATGTCATATACTAAGATCAAGACTGACATTCAGCCAGTAAGTCTCGGTGTCAAACTGCCCAGCAGGTCTGATGAGTCAGGTTGCCCTCTGATAAAATTTGAGAAGGCATAGCTGCAGGTTAAAGAAAAGATTTCTAAAATGGCATCGACAAAAGAAAGGCAGAAATGTTGGAAATAGAATGCATCACATTGGAATCACTAATCAACTCACTGTTTTTCTTAAATGATAAGTTAAAGGGAGGACCCTAAAAAGGCTGGAATGGAAAACAAAAAATTTCTAAAATTTGATAGTTAAAGGAGAGCTATCAAAGCTTTCATGAGGAGCAAAAAGATGATCAGAACTTGGCTTTAGAAAAACAAGTTGGTAGTATTATTTTGGAGAAGAAGTGTAAGGGTTTGGAGAAAAAAAAAAATGACTTCAGCCTTAGTTGAAGCACAGTGAGACTTGAATTTCACTCACATTAATGGGAATGGTGGGGGGACAGCCCAAAGCAAGGCACTACTTACTAGGCTTATGCATGACTGGATGGAGGAGGGGAGTTAAGATATATCAAAGACAATTTGAGATGTCAGCCCTAGCTTACTGACATGGGAGTAAGGTCACCTTTAATTTTGATCACAATGAATTTGAGTTGTTAGAATAGAGAGTGATTTACACATATGTATGTACTTCTGTGTTCACATATATATAGATGTCTGCATATAGCTGTTGTGGAAATGAAGATACCCAGATCACCCTTCAAGGAAAGTCTTGCTGGTTAGCAACAGGGCACCTGGTTGGAAGTCAGCATCCACCTGTCTTCACCATCAGATTTGCCTTAGCATCATAGAACTCCTTCACTTGAGGTTACATCCCTCCGTGAGTAGCTTGCCCCCAGTCTCCGAGAGACACAGGAATGTAAAGCTCTGGCCTTCATGACCTGGGCACGATCTTGTGGTGGGTTAAGACTTCCTTTGGAGTTCCTTGCCAGTTCAACTTTTTCCTCTGCCTGTTTCTGTTGATTAACCCTTCCTTTTTAGTTTTTGGTCCTTAATAAACTTTATGCACCTAAACTGCATTTCAGCAGCTGCTTCTAGAAAACCCAATCTGTAACACTAGTGTTGTATCATTTGGGAGTTCTTTTAGATGCAAATAATGGAAAAACCATCTAAACATGTCTAAAAACATGTTATTGTCTCATAAAATAAAAAGGTTCTGAAACATGGCCATTACAGAATTGACTAACAAATGACTCAATGACATCATCATATCTATGAGCATCTTTCCATTCCCTTATGATAGGTGTTTGTTTTTATTTTTGTTTTTTTGCATGAGTTGTTTGTTTTGTTTTAATCAGAGAAGAAACTCTCCAGGTCCCAGTGGCCTGAATTGAGTCATATACTCATAATTTATAAGGAAGCTGGAATAGCAATTTCTAGTATGTTCAGCTCTTAGAGCAGAAGGCAGTCTGCCAGCAAGGATACATTTGGGAAAATAAATGGTTTGGGGTGAGTAGCCATCGATGTCTACCACGAAAATGTCTGAACTTGATATCATAAATGTAGTATGGAATACCTGATTTTCATTATTCCCTTTAAATTGTGTTAGACTCTACATGCCCATAGTTCTGGCGTGTAGGAGGAAATTTACTCATAATCCCCTGGTGTGAAGATTCTTGATATTATTTGATGCTAAAGCATCAAAAAAAACCTCTGGTCAGCAGCTGACACTTGTTTTCATCAAAGCACCCATCATTTTGTGCACACAGAACTTTCAGGTGTAATATGTTCACTGCTTCTATGCCACTCACTGCTGACCCATATGACTGGATAGTGGGGCCAGGAACCTTGGAATCATGTGCACTACCCCCTAGACACACCTTTCTTCCACATCATCCTCTTCAACGTCTTGCCTTATCATCCCCATAAGACAAGTGCTTGCGAACAATGTGCTGGCTCCTTATAAATGTAAGACCTGCCCATCTCTGATCTCTGCCGTCTAAGGGAAATGTGTCCCTCAAGTCACTCTCCTGCCTTCTCCATCTTCTTTCTCTCTCCCTTTCTCTTTAAACATCATGGATAATCTTTTCATAGAGTTTCAACAAGGAAAGTATATCCCGCAAAAACCCTTGAGACAAGGAAATGCTTAGGGCTTGATTATTGCTCCAAGTTATAGGAGAAGGAAAAATGCAAAGATCAAAACATGAAAGAATAATAACTGATCCCAGCTTCCACCCCAGGTTTGCCAGAATTAGCAAATTACAGTTCAGGAAGCCTAGCTCACTTTGAACTTCAGATAAACAATTCACTTTTTTTTTTTTTTTTTTTTAGTATGAATTTGTCCCGTAAGTTTGGAACAAATTTAACTGGGCATCATGCATTTTTTCTAGCAACTTTAAACCTCCCTTTCCCCATAAAAAACAGATGCCAGCTAGTATAGTTGTTAATGTTGGTGTAAAGCTTAGAAGAGAGGTTGCTATTATAAACATAGATTTCAGAGACTTCCCATTAGACTACAGCTGATCCTATGTAAGATGACATAAACTTCAAGGGGATGGAATGTACAAAGAAGAAAAAGGACTCTTTGTATTCTTCTTAAAGTCTTTTATAATGCTTGACATATATTAGCAGATCTCAATAAAATTTTCTGCTTAAACAACAGATTCTTTCTCCCCTGTTTTCATTATCTTTTTAGGAGATTATGTAATATAAACATAGGTAGTAATTACTGTGACACCTTATGAAGTCTTAAGAGTGGAAAAGAGATTCATATTAATATTATACTTTCATGATTATTCAGATTGTCCATGCATGTGACCTGGACACTATATTAATAAAAGATCCTCTCATAGATGAATAATTAGAATAATTGTTTTGAGAAACCAAAGTCTGTTTCCAAATGCTCTCAGACTGCATGTATCAATAAAGCCTTAAATTTCAAATAATTTAAAAATGTACACAATAGATATACTTTTCAGGTTTCTTTAATGATTAACTTAAATTTGTCATGCTCTTCAGATGGCACTTCTTGGGAAGATCCAGAGCTGTTGTCTAGCAGTCAACATTAAGTACAATAGCAGACCAGATTCTAGAAAGTATGAAATCTAATTTTATTGATATGATATGCTTGACAGTATAGTCCATATAACTGGCTTTTCCCTTTGGGGTAATCAAGACCATAGAGAGAGCTTAGTACCTATAGGCTGGGAAAGGACACCATCAAGCACAGTTTGAAACTAATAGAAACTGCAGCTGTGGAGACAGGGCCCAGGTGGCCTAGAGATAGTGTTGAGTGTGACTGGCCTTGCATTCACCGCTTCTAGGGGCCAAGAACATCACAGGGTTCCAGGTAGCACTGACGAGAGCCTTGCCTTTGTTCCAGCTCCCGCCATGCATTCAGCGGCTCCCTCCAGAGCATTGTATTCAAATGCAGGGCTCGCACTCATCAGTTATTTTAGAATCACAGTAACTTGGCAACATTTCCAGAAAATAAGAATACCGAGCGTCTAAATTGCCAGTAGAAATGGTTTTGAAATGAAGCAGGAGGAAGTTTCCTCGGATCAGAAAGATTGTGCAGTGAGTTTGGTGGTGATTATTATTCCATCTGTTGATGTGATTATGGAAATTCTGGCTGAGACTGTGAAGTCTTATGGACTCTGTCTTCCCTGTACTCCCCAAAGAATGGAGAGCTGCCAGCTATGCAAAGTGCTGGAAAGGGATAAAAGCAAATCACTGACCTTGAGTTACTGTTCAGGAGTTCTTCACCCTTTTGATATAGGTAGAGTGAGTTTGTTTCTGTATATTTACACAGCCTTGCAAAGCTCTTCAGATGTTCTTAACCGAGATATTTTTTTTTTGTATGCTGATCTCTGAACTCCACTGCATGGTGCCCAGAAAGGCTGATGAAGCATAGAGGGGATGAAACAAAAAGCAGCAATAAGTTTAGTTTTAAAAAAAAGGGGGCTATTATATGCACATGGCCATGTAAGCAGCTAAGGAAAATGTGAGTGGACCAATGCTCATGCCACACAGCCCAAACCAAAAAATAATTCTTGTGAGAGAAACAATTTTAAGGTACTAATAATTGGTACTTTCAGTTCTTATATATTTTGTTAGCCATAAAGATGGACAGGGAATGTAAAAAATTCTTCTAGTTAAAAAAAATTATTTGACTTTGAGTCATTGATTTGTTTTTAACAGAGAAGACCAAAACTAAGACTGTCCTTATACAACATCAGATTTCTCAGGGAGAGGAAAAAATGCCATGTCACATGGAGTCTTCCAGGTCTGGGGAACTCTTGGTGTCACGGGGATTTGGTCTGGTTTCTAAGCTGCTCCTACCTTAATGGTTTGGGTTCCTTAAGGTATCTTTTTCCACCGTCTGAGTGGTTCAGTGCAGTAAGATGTTTTCTCTCTGAAAATAATAGAATGAGCAATTGTGCATGCCTCTTTAGGGTACTAACCATGAGGTGCTTTGTAATTTTTGTGATTCAGCTTCTCCAGTGAGACATAAGAACTGACAGCATTGTTAGGGAAATGAATCCTCTGTGCATCTGAATTTGTTGTTGGAATATCTTTAAATGGGAAGTGACTCATTTCAGCCTCTGAGAGACAGTTGGGTAAATTCATTCATGTTATCGTTCACTGAGGCTATTTATTACCTAGAAGTTTTCTTTTTCACTTCTAACTCATTATTCCTTCCACTACTCTAGGGAAGCAAGCCTGAGGCCAGAAAGCAGTCCATGACAGTTGGAAACAAATGGTGGACACCAGTGTGCATTGTTATAGATCCATCGGGGTCAATGTAGGATGACACCCAACCATAGCTGAAGGTCTTCAGGGTTGTGCATCTCCTCACTTCAGAATGACAAGAAAAAAGTTTTACTTCATCTCTTGCCCAAGCCATTTCTTTGGTCATACTAGGGGAACTCTAATCCTAGTCATGTTTGAAAAATTAAAATGGCCTCATTAATCCAGGGCCTAAATAAAGCCAGAGTGGGTTTAGAGAAGTTAGTCTGGAGGCAAGTAAACCTGTTATTTTAACTCAAAGTTGAAAGTATGAATGAAATTGGTAGCATTATTACTAATACTTTTTAATGCCGGATGTGTGTTTCACATGGAATATCATTGTGATTTGGAAACATGGACAGTGTTGTCAAACCATTAATGAATTTAGGAAATGCTGTTGGCTAATTGCTCATAAACCAGTCTTTAAAATTGTTTCCTCTTTCCTAAGTGTTTGCTTCTAAATATTCTAGAATGACATCTGTTGGGCCTGGGAGAGAAATGAGTCAACGGGTTGTCCCATGGAGCCACAAAACCAGTGAAGCAGGGGCACTTAAATTCTTCAGATAGTCACCGTTTCTTCAGCATTCTTTTTCCTTCTTTTTATTTATGAGTCCTGAGGTTTCTCATGTCTGTTTCCCAAATATTGATAGTGAACCAGAGCAAAGCTGGTCTTATAAGTAGTTGTTGTTGTTTAATCATTCAGTCATGTCCAACTCTTTGAGGCCCCATGTACTGTAACCCGCCAGGCTTCTCTGTCCATGGAATTTTCCAGGCAATAATACTGGGGTGGGTTGCCATTCCCTTCCTCCAGGGGATCTTCCTGACTCAGGGATCGAACCCACATCTCCTGCCTTGGCAGGTGGATTCTTTACCACTGAGCCAGCAGGGAAGCCCTCTTATAAGTGGTACAGTTGACATTATTTGAAGATGTTCTTTTTATCATCTTAATGACTATTTATTAAAGACCTACCAACCTGGGCCACTATTATAGTCACTCTGGAAACAGCCATAAAAAATCAAACATCCCTGACACAAGAAACATATAATAAACAAATAAATAAAATTTTTATTCTGTAGGAGACAATTGCTGCTATGGTAGAAATAATGAAAGGAATTGGGGAATCCTGAGCGTAAAGAAGGAAACTTCAGTTTTAAGTAAGGTGGTCAGGAAAAACTTTACTGATGAAAATAATTATTTTTAACCAAAACTCATAATTGTGGTGGTTTAGTCACTA